GTGTGTGTGTGTGTGTGTGTGTGTGTGTGTGTGTGTGTGTGTGTGTGACTAAATGCATGGCATGGTGATTGGAATGGAAAAAATAATAATTTCACGACAAAAATGAAAAGAACCATTTTGTGTCCCATCTACCAAAGCACAACCTAAAAGACAAACTGTACATGTATGATGCAGCTTAACATGGTCATAGTCATAGATGTTTAAAAATTCAGAGGCCATTGCATATCACCAGGTTGTTGCAATATACTGTGGCAGGAAATGAAAGTGTTATCGTTTAAACTACGAATCAAGTGAGACGCCAGAGAGCGGAACAGGGAAATGTCTTAAAGATATCTGCTGCTCTAATGTAGGTCAGTCTATAACACAATGTTAACAGGCTTTGGCGCATTTGCCAAAACGTCGAACTCCTGAAACACTTACGGAACATTTCTCTAATGTTAAGAAGTACCACTCTTACAGCGTATCACCCATCAAAGAGCTGTTTGTCTTACTTGAAGCAGCTGAAGCATTTCAAAACCTTCTTGGCTTTGCTACACTATGTTTTAAACTGGGATTGGCAGCCAACACCCTTACCTCTGTCACACCCTGCATTTATGTTCATCTTTGATCATTAATCATCTCTCATCCAGTCTCCTGCCTCTACTGGGAGGGCGGGGGGGGGGGGGGGGGGGTCACCCCAGCATGCTCCCTGAAGCCATCGAGGCCACTGTTACTCACATAGACATGTTTAAAGCACCTGGGTCAGTGTGTCACACCTGTCTGTTATTAATATGGAAATTTACACTGCCTTCCTGTCGCCTGTTGTTTACGTCGTGTCAGTCAATCTGCTGTCAAAATGGCCTGCTGGCTTGTTTACACCATAGAGCTCGTTTGTGACACTGAGAAGTTGTACAAGTATTTACATTGAGTATAGTTCCAATATTCCTTGTTGTTTTTATCCGTATATACTGAATTAAAGTCACTCGTTTTCAAACACCTTTTCTATGCTGCGTGTGTCAGGTGAGGAAGACTCTTGACGCCACCATGCAGACCCTTCAGGACATGCTCACCGTGGAGGACTTCGATGTTTCGGAGGCCTTCCAGCACAGCCAATCCACAGAGTCGGTCAAATCGGCTTCCTCTGACTCCTACATGAGCAAGGCAAACATTGTGAAGAGACGAGCCAATCAGCACGAGACTGAGGGCTTCTACTTCACTGTGAGTTCTCAGACGAATGAGAGCACGACGGCACTGCAGTATGGAGCGCATGCATTATAAATAATAACCTTGTTGGTAATTGTCTCTTTATGTATTTCATCTGCAGAAATACAAGGAGTACTTGAATGGCAGCAATCTCATTATCAAACTGCAGGCCAAGCATGACCTTCTGAAGCAGACACTGGGAGAAGGTGAGACTTATTGTGCTGTACATGCGTGGAGCGGCAAGTGATTGTAATCGTTGGGGGTCTGCTCTTTACATTAAGTTTTGTATTAAGTGGGTAAAGTACCATAAATCAAGTTTGAATAAGGATGTGTGCAGTTTAGTCTTATGTCAATGAGTTGCTACTGCAGAATGTTGCAAGCATCTGCTATGGATATAAAATATACAGCACAGCACATATTGTCAGTGGTACTATATTTGTGGACACACAAGAGTATATATGGTGGAATTTGATTGATTGAAATTGAATACAAGCATGTGTTGTTACTGAAGGTGTCATTCAATTGACAGCTTGACAATCTTTGGACCTAAAAATGTGTCACAGGTTAGAAAAGACAGTAAAGAAAAGTACTGTACCTGAAGGGTATTCCTTGCCATACTATGTTCAAATATTCCTCATATAAAATATGCATTAACCTACACACCAAAAGAGTGAATAGAAATGTATATATTCGGTGTCGTAGTGTTTCTCTTTTAGACTCAAACATCTGCTTCGGGTTCCATGTGTGTTTGACATAAAGTAGGATTGTGCTGGAAGCTGCTTTACACACGACGTGATCCTCGAACAAACGTTCCCGGTGGACTGATCAAAGTGAGGCCTTAATCAGTTTGCGTACAGTGAGACGCGTGTGTGCGAATGTGGTTTCAGATATCACAAAATCATCACACTGTACAAATCACAGCTCCCACAAAAAAACCTCCCACTCTTGTCGCCCCCGGATACATTTTCAGTTTGCCGAGCGAGCAGACGAGTTATCCCCTTCTGGGGCTCTTGTCCCGTTTCTAGGGCAACCGCTGAATGACTGCTGCCTGGCGGTGAGACAAATGCAGCCGTGGCGCTCACCCCATTGAGCCGCCTGAATAGATGCCCGTTTTCTCATAACACCCCTTTCCGTCTCCATCTGCCAGCCTCGTATAGTCGGCCAGCACCGAACCGTACAGCTAACTTCTGTGATTGTGATACGAGTGTATACTAATTTTGGCTCTTTCTCTGCTGTTTCTTTTTCTTTTAGGGGAGAGGGCTGAATACGGAACAACAAGGTAAGCTGTCCAGTGACAAGACGATGAATGAAGTAGGCAATGGCGTGTAAAATCCTTCCTGTGTCTCTGGATGTGGCAGGAATGAGATCACAGTGTGGGAATATGAGAGTTGTCTCAACCTCTCTCTTGTTTTGTTAAAGAAAGGGTTTGATGCTAATCAGAGAAGGCTGAGCTCTGAGTTGTTCTTCACAGTTTTAATCTATACAATATGTTAGACAAATAAATGAAATGCCAGGGAGATGGATAATGTCCTGCTGCTGTTCTACTTATAAACAATTCAGTGAGCAGAAAATGAAGACAAGCTCATGACTAATTGAATACAAGTGTTTGGCTTTTACCTATTTTGAACTTTACTGCATTCTATTAAATGCAATCAAATCTTTATTGCATTTTATGCTCGATGATTCCCTGTTGTCATTATCCTTGACTTTGATTAAGTTTGCTGCAGCAGCTTCATCTAAGGGTCAATTCAAAGAAATGTTTTGACATTTTGGCAAATGTGCTTTTTTCGCTTTTTAGAAGATTTATATCGTTGTCATGATTTTATGCCAAATGTGAAGCTACAGACTGTTACCTTGACTTAGCATTAAGATTGGAAGCAGGGGAAAACAGCTGGCCTGAAATACCGAGTAAAACCTTAACATGTCATTTTTCTCATCTTTTGTAGAGATGAAACAAGCGAGCTAAGCTAACCTATCGGTGTCTGTAGCTTCCCATTGACCGTGCAGATACTGTGTGAGAGTGGTATCGATCTGCTCATCTCATTTAGATATTGTGTTTTTGGAGGTGCAAATTATTGTGGCAAAGACATGACAACAAACTGTTTTTTGTATGTGTATACCAATTGCATTAGCATTCATATTTACCCTGTACCAACCGTACACCCCCCACCATCTCCCCAGGCCCCCCACTCTTCCCCCTAAACCCCAGAGAATGCGGAAGTCTAGACCTCGCTCCGTTTTTAACCGTAAGCTGTTTAACGGCAATATGGAGGCCTTCATTCAGGTATTAGTCCATCTGTGCTCTTTGTCTCTCCGTGAGCTCAGCTGTCTCGCTAGTGGTCCTTGGGGGTTCTCTTGGCTTTGACCGCTCTTTTACCCAAATGTTGGCTCACTCATGCACTGATTTTCCTCTTGCTCACTGCCTTGTGTTCACAGTCTTGTAGAAGGAAAGACGGGGTGAGGTGAAAACCAATTAAACTAATGCTGGCGATGGTTTGCTTTCTTAAGCACTGCTTTTAACATCCTCTCCTATCCCAGCCTCCAGACACTAAAATAATAATTGGGCCTCATGTCAGCTGGCCATGCACCAGCTATGTCAGGCTATGCAAATATACAAATGGCCACGTCCACTTTAATGCTCAAACAAACTGCGGCAGGCAAGACAGAGTGTGCATCAACAGCAGTGGAGCACTACAGCTGAAACCATCAGTCAATTGGCAGATGTAAAAAAAGCAATTCATCATTCAAGTGATTTTTCAAGCACAAATTCCAAACGTTCCCGTGTTCCAGGTTCTAGCTGTTCAAATATGTTCTACTTGTATTTGTCTTATATGATAATAAACCGAATATCTTTGGCTTTTAGAGTGTTGGCTGGAAAAAAAAAAAGTGATGACACCTTTGGCTTAAGGAGGTTGTGATGGGTGTTTGTCACTATATCCAAATTATTGTTACTACCACTTATTGGAGAAATGAATGGTTATATATTTGGATAATGAAAATAATTGGTTAGTTGCAGCCTTAGAAATATGCCTTACTTTATGTAGCTCTTACCCCCGTCCTCTCAGATAGCACCCTCCCTCACACATACTCCCCCTGTCGAGCTATGTCCTCATGTTTCAAACCTCACAAGGCACTGATGCTTTGGCTATTCTTTCAGGCCAGGCCTCCTCTTTTTCTCTCTCTCTCTGTACGGTCTGTCTCTCTCACTAACCTGTTGTGGTTCTTGTTGCATCTCTTCCTCCGTCTGCGGGCCTTTCTGCTCTCTGCCCAGGGGAAGACGGAATGTCCGTGCCAGGAGTCAGGTACTCTGTCTAATAGCAGGGCGGGATAATCCCGCTGTGTTCAGTATGCTAACCAACATTTCTGTGCCTCTGTCCTGTTGGCAGTCCTGTGTGATACTGTAGTGATAGTAACATATTTTGGTGCAAACACTAACACAATTGTGTTCTGCCTGTTTTTTTTCCTATAAACTTTAACATCAGTTATTTAAAAATAACATCAAATGATGAACATTGTTAAGTTAATTCATTTGAGGGGCTGCCTCTATAAGCCTCTGATGATAACATCCTGCAGGCATAGCTATTTGTCTTCTATGATTCTCTGTGTATGTGCTTACAATAATAGTCATTTGAATCTGTCTGGTAGGACTCAGGGCAGCCTATACCAGTGGTGGTTGAGAGCTGCGTTCGATACATCAACCTGTATGGTAGGTTCCTTTGTAGTGTTTCTTTCCACAAAATGATAAAACCTGTGCTTTCACATACTCTGTCTCTCCCTCTTTTTATACTAACATTTTTGACATGAAAAAGATTAACATCAGCAATATTGTCAGGGAATCACACAGTATATGTCTTAAATATGTATTGAACAAAGCAATACAATCCAACGTGTTTTCAACAGGAATGTCCTAGACTTAAAAATAAGTCTTTAGACTACAAATAGCCCTTTTTCGCCACATGAAACCTTTATAGGATCCTCACCCATGGGACTAAATTATTACCTTCATCATAGTTCCTGGTGCCATACCCTGAGGGTAGTCATTGCTAATACCCCAGGAACTATTGGGACAGAGTTTGCAGTGCTGGGCATTCATTCACTCAATAAGAAAGCACTGAATGCCACTTGTATGAATATTAACATGAAGGGTGGACACAACACAATTAATATGTGTTGTTGTTTTTTTTCCTTCAAAAGCTGCCATCATTTTTTTTTAAGCCGTTCCAGACTTATTTGCTTGATCTTCAAGGTTCTTAAGATGCGGCAGAAAGACAAACAGAAAAAACCGCCAATTAGACGTTTAGTTCCTGTGGCTCCATAGTTCTTTGAACATTTGGGTTGAAAAGAGCCTAAATAATAGCATTTTTTGACTAATCAATTTGTTGAATTGGCTGACAAAATCAGTCAATTCAGTGTTATCGTCCCTTTGCAGCAAACTACAGTCATGCTAAGGAATTTCATAAAATCAAGCATTCATTAATATTATAGTGAAGACAGTGATTAATATTTCATCCATCAATAAAAAGGACCAGAAAAAACAAAAAAAATTACTAATAACGTTGTCCAGAACCTTATTGACCGATTGAAATTTAAATTACCTAGAAGTCTGCTAGCGGGTTCAAACCTTGCCCTCACCCATACTGGTCTTGTCTTTCAAATCCAGTCTCACACCATTTTGCACCATTTTTGTCACATACATACTGAACATCCCCACACTTGCAATGTAACCTAAACTGACATTTGTTGTTGGGTTTAGTCTTTTTTTTAAATGAGTTTGTTTATGTGCTTTAACCTTTGGGCTTTATGTGCTGTGCACCTTCTGTGAGGATTGGTTAATATTGTTAAACTTTAAATGTGCAGAGAAATTCAATGAAAAGACATTTGTACATTTTACACTAACTGGTCTATCTGTCCACAGGTCTTCAGCAGCAAGGTATATTTCGAGTTCCAGGCTCCCATGTCGAAGTCAACGATATTAAAAATGCGTTTGAAAGAGGTTAGTCCCTGTGCGCTTGGCCATCTTCTCTTGATTGGTTTTAAATTGCATTTTGTCCACCTCAAAAGCCACAGTCTCTTTCACACGCCTTTAAAGTGCACATAAAGAGCCCATGTGCCACATAACTCCATAATGGACATGTAAACCATTGTAGATGCATAATACATAAGATCAGCATCTTGGAGTAATAATAAATGAGGAAACATAACTGTACTCTCAATGTTTATATTAACCTCCCAACTTGAAATACGCATAAACAAAAACTGCATCGCTGCTGTGTTATGTGGACATTGATAGTAATGAATGATTGCTGAGTGGATTAAATGTATGTTACGTCTATAGGAGAGGATCCACTGGTGGATGATCAGGACGATCATGACATCAACTCTGTGGCAGGCGTTCTTAAGCTCTACTTCAGGGGGCTGGAAAACCCGCTGTTCCCTAAAGAGCGTTTCCTCGACCTCATATCCACAACCAGTGAGTCACATTCCAGGAAAACATCCGATACATCTCAGCTTTTTATTTAGTGTAGCTTTCTCTAATCTTCCACTTTTTCTTTGTTTCCTTTATCTCAGAGCTTGATTTAGGCGCAGAAAGGGCTCATCACCTTCAGCAGATAGTTGTGACTCTCCAGCGGTCCGTGATCATCGTCATGAGATACCTGTTTGCATTTCTAAATCAGTAAGTCCTGCCACAGCAAAAAATCCCACTTGTTTGACACTCATGAAGTGATACTAATTGCTTCTGGCTTCCCAGTGTTTCTCAGTACAGTGATGAGAACATGATGGACCCCTACAACCTGGCTATTTGCTTTGGCCCCACATTGATGCCAATACCAGATGATCAGGACCCTGTGTCCTGCCAGGCGCATGTTAACGACATCATTAAGACCGTTATCATCCACCATGAGGTCATCTTCCCGGCCCAGCGTGAGTTGGACGGACCTGTGTATGAAAAGTGCATGGCTGGTGGGGAAGAGTACTGGTAAGTGTAAGACCAGGTGTCCATTATGTGGTCAGTACATAGATTATGGGGCGGCTGTTGCTTAGGAGTGCGTGTTTGAATGGGTAAATGAGGGGGAAAATGGTGGAACACTTGGAAAAAAAAGCTGCCATTTATATGCAACCATTTACTGTCTATTTTTCTCAGTTTTCCATTTAAAAAATGGATGAAATTTCAATAAAAATGTACTGAAAAACACCAAAACCATAATTGTGTCAGAATTGTTATTTGTCTTTCTCTTACATAAACATCTTACTTTGCATAAAATAAAATATGCTTTTGGGAATGTCTGTCTCCCTATTTCTCCATCCAGTGAAAGCCCCCACAGTGAGCCAGGAACTCTTGACGAGGTAGACAATGGCACCGGACCCAACACTAGCGATGAAGGTGAGTCACCAAGCAGTCAATCCACTGCAATGACTGCAGCCGTACCTGTAAGAGCTGAAAAGATTCTTTGCATTGGATTCCGTCCCATTTCTTCTTTGCATTATTTGTCTTGCAGAGTTGGAGCAGATCGAGGCCATTGCAAAGTTTGACTACGTGGGCCGAACTCCGAGAGAGCTTTCCTTCAAGAAGGGAGCCTCTCTGTTGCTCTACCTGCGAGCCTCTGAGGACTGGTGGGAGGGCCGACATAACGGTGTGGATGGGCTGATTCCACATCAGTACATTGTGGTACAAGACATGTGAGTAAGATGCATTTGCTCTGTGAAGCCCACAATAACACTTGTGTTATATTGAACAGATTTTAGCATACAACAGCATCACAAAGTCCTAGTCAAGAAGTCCGTACCCTGGTTCTGCTGCAGGACAACAGCTACTTTGGGCTTGGTCATTATTTATGTCGCTCTATTTTCCCATAATGCATGTTTCTATTCTTAACATTCTCTCGAGCCGTGTTGTTTCCAAAAAGCTTGGTCTTATAAAACCTGCGCCCTCATCAAGGATCAGTGTGAATAAATCATCCTGCTTTTCTGTATGTTTTTCTTGTTTCCTTGAAACAACTAGTTGCAATGAAAACAAAACAAGCAGTAATCTGCAGAGCTGTAGAGAGGACAAGTCACTCCTCAAAGGCAGCCATACATTTCTGCTGTGGCCTCTTGTCTGATAACCACTCCTGCATCGCTGGGCTGGTAACAACATTAAAGCAAAATTAAGAAGCGTGATGCTGCCAACACTGGCTTCAAGGGACTGATACGTGATTAATTCTGTCTGTAAAAGTAATGAGGCTCACTGTGCTGATGACATGTTTGTGTTGTTTTTGTGGCAAGAGTATAATTGTTAAGGATAATTGTATGTGCTGTTCGAGTGATTAAACTTCCAAGTTCATTCTCTCAAATTAAAAGCCAATATTAACATTTCCCGAGGGCAGACGCTATTAATCGAAATCAATCTCTTCTGTCCGTCCGTATCAGGGATGATGCATTCTCGGATAGCGTTCAGAGGACTGATAGTGCGGCCAGCAGTGGACCCCACCACGATGAAAGAGCCTTGTCCAGAAATGACCGCCGATCTCCTCCAAGTGAACACACACCTGAGCGCCAATTTGGAGCAGCACTGGGAAGGTGAGACAAAACTCTCTGGGCACACACAATACAGACAGTGAATACATAATGTAGAAATAAGCAGTATTTGATTTTTATGGACAAAAAATGCATTTAAAATCCCCGTGGAAGTATTCTGAGTCATGTAAAGTATCAAATTGTGATTTGTGTTAGGGTGAGGGTGCGATCAGATGGAGCTGCAGGTCCGCGCCACAGGAACGGCGCTGACGGTCACAGCCCCACCAGAGCTGCAGACCAGCCCCCTAGGGTTATGCCTCGGCCCTGCAGCCCACACAAAATAGCAGTTCACAGGGGCCCAACAGACAGTCCGGAGAAACGACGTCTCGCCGCATTTGGCAGTGCTGGCTGCATCAACCACTCCGACAGAAGGGCCTTCGTGGACAGCCATTCTCAACGATCTTCACACAGCACCACTCGGCACGCGAGCTTAGGAGATCACAAAACTCTTGAGGCTGAAGCACTTAATGAGGTGAGTGTTTAAAATGGTACAGTATATACTTCTAAATAGTGTGTGTGTGTGTATGTATGTGTATATATATATATATATATATATATATATATATATATGTTATATATGTTACTTGTTGCCTGATTGTATATCAAAATGTCAATATATTATTTTCCTTCTGCTCAGGACATTGAGAAAACGATGAATACAGCTCTCCATGAGTTGCGTGAGTTGGAGCGACAGAATGTAGCCAAACAAACCCCCGATGTTGTTTTGGACACATTGGAGCCCCTGAAACACGCTGGTGGAGCCCAGGATCCGCCTGGCAGCCCTCTCCACACCATGGTAATCAGGGATCTAGATGCAGCCCAGCGACGTAGCAGCAGCACCTCCTCCGAGACCATGAGCACTTTTAAACCTGCTATATCAGCACGTAGACCGAGTGCACCTCTAAGGCCCCCGCCTGTCAGACCTGTGCGGCCTGCGCCTGTGATTGGACAGGGCCAGGGACCACACCGCTCCAGCAGCTCCAGTTCCTCTGGTCTGGGCAGCCCAGGCATCACACCCACTGACAGGGTCTTTCCCAAACCCCCCTCCCCATCACCATCCACCTCCTCCTCATCCTCAGACAAACTAGGTAACATGTAGCTCCAGTCAGTCGCAAGTCAAGTGGTGGAAGAACACTGTGGATACCAAGTGATTGTGATTACCATCATGCCCCTGTACCTCTTTTTGACCGCAAAAGAAACATTGACACCTGGTCTGTATATTCTTCTGAAGTGTAGGATGGCTACTTCTGGTTTCTGACAACTGTGCTCCCACGCATTAACTTGTGTATATGTACTGCATTACAATATTACACAGAAATAGGATATAAATCTACTAGAATAATTGTATAGAATGCTACCGTGCTAAACAGCCGTGCTGGATAAAAAAGGGATGCACTGGAAAATGCTTCTGTTTACTGAAATCTGACAATGAAAATCTCATGTTATGAGGTTACAAAAATGCTGTTGAGCTTGGATTGTGTGTCTGGTTTTATGTTCCATTATGAGGGAACACTTATGGTAATATTACACCACTAATTATCTAGACATCCAGTCTGTGCTGCTGGTTGATGTAGTCTATTAAAACTAAAAAAAACTCCTTAAGCACCATTTTCCTTAGAGAGCCTGTCACACAATGCAGCCAATATATACCAACCAGCAAGTATGGTTTCAAGCAACTGGCAGATACGGTGGCTGTGTCTGAAATCACTCTCTCTTTACTATGTCGAGCACTATATTAACTCACCGCCATTTTATTTCAGTGTATGAATTCTGCGTGGGAAATTAACTTCTAGTGTATGGTGGCCTTAAAAAAATCGACTATTGGAATGAAAGAAATTTGTGTGCATGGCATGTTAAGTCTTTTCTGCCAACAATCCCACAATGCAATACATCACTTTTTACAGATGCAAAAGTTTGAGTTTTACATTACACCCGTTAGTGATAACGCAAACTGTTGCTAATTCATAAGTGTTTGACATATTTAGTGTTCATTACATAGTAAACTGTTCTGTTTCATTGGGAGGTGTGAGCGAGGATGATTTTAGACACAGCCATGGATGATTAGTAAAACCAGGGTAGAAGTGGGTTAAGTTGTTCTTCTAATGGCCGGTAGATGCTCACTCCAAGGAAATTACACTCCACGCAAATCCAACCTGAGGATACTAAAGGAGGACGACGACAGTCTAAAAGCAACTTTTAGACAACACCAACTGTCACTGGGATTGATTTTTTTCTACAATTTTTTTTTTTTTTTTTTTTTTTGCAGAATAGGCATCACTAGCCAACAGCCTGGGTGCGAGCCTGGTTAACTGGTTGCAGTCGGCAACAACCTGACACTCTGCTTCTCTTTGTTGCATTTTCTCAGCAGTGGACCAGGACTGGTACAAACTCTTTGTGACTCTGATATTTGATAATATTTGCTGCATGCAAGCTGTTCCAAAATGTACTTTTTAGGAAACAAAAATGAAACTTATTTCAGCCAAAACTATATTTTTCATTTATCTCCGAACAGCTCAGTGGATGACAGATGTAAATCAGGCTGCAGGGCCACACAGTTACACAGAGAACATTAACATCTATTGTGGACTTCATAGACATGCCACCCTTATAACTAATACACAGAAAGAAAGAATACAATCGGCAAAATGTTCTTGTAAAATATAGTAATCTCTCTATATACAAATTTTAGATGTTACCTTAATAAACAAGTGACATGTTCTCCTACAATTCAAGTAAATAATGCACTTAAACACACGACGGGGAACTGTGCTGCATTTGTAGGTTCTGTTTGTTAATTTTGATGACGTACTAGAAACATGACGTAGCACATCGGTGTCATTGAAGCTTACATAATGTCTAGATTGCATTGGTCAGTTCAGGCTGTGTGGGTGTTTAGATGAATTTGTTTACCGTTGATGTTTTTCATCCGTCTTAAAAGGATAATCAATACTATATATCTTAAAGTGTAAAAGGTACTTTGGATCGAATATATACATACTGTTAAAGGATACTTGTATAAATATCATTGTATGATAGGAACAGGATATATTATCATGTCTAGTCTGTAGATTTTTGTTACTCTTATCCTCGCACAAACATTAACAAAACAATAAATCAGTGAAACCTCACAGAAACTTCTTGTGTTATTGTCTTGTGACGTTCAATAAAAAGGGTTTCATGGAGGTGACTGCAGATTAACAGTGGCCAGTGATAGTTATGGTAGTGCACCATATTCATATCCATAGTCCTTGTTATACTGACAATCTGTGGTGAAAATTTGCATGAACAGCACAACTCATTCATACATGCACTGACTATAGACTGGTTTTTCATTGCCATCTACTGGTCAGTGTAGATTGTATGTTCTTCCTGTTAAAGACCTTCCAGTATCACACACAGTTTTTACGTTTGCTTAAGCACAATTTTGAAAATAGGGCTCATTTTGTCAAGAATTTACACACAATTATCACAACCACACGCATAACAGCAGAACACCTCAAACATTTTGCAAAATTAAACACTTCACTTAAAACTACACTATAAGTTATAAAACCCAATTATGTCACCTTATGGTTCATATAATCTGGACCTGTTTGAACCAGTTACACACTGCTGTGCTCAATCCAAAGCACCTTTAAGTTAACATTTCTACTTTTCTAATGATTTATTCTGGGTTAGGTTTTATCCAGATACGTTGTTTGAGTAAAGTACGTGAATATATTTATCATCAATATATTGATGAATATATGTATTTCTCTCCACAGCGTAAAATCTATCAATACATCCATGCATATCCAAAGGTTGCATTTTGCACTGAAAATCTGAACGGAACATATTTTACATAGAAGATAGAGCATAAGCACAGCAAAAGCATTCGTGCAAACAAAAGGAAGTGTGAATTACATTTTTTCTTTTAAAGCTAATACACGTTTTTGAACTCGCTGCCATGTTGACTTTCATGTTATTGTAAACAGGTACTCACCGTTGGTCTTTTTATGGTGGTATGAATGTTACTTTATGTCTTATGTAGAAAACTGTTCTGTGTGAAAAAAAAATGCTAAAATGTTTTGCTCTCTGAGTGTCAGTCTCGATTATTGAGTTCTATGTTCATTTTAGTGTGTAAACTATAAAAATCAAGGAAATACCAACATAAAATGCATCATGCCATGCCAGAGCATCCTGCAAAAAGCATATACATTTACATTAAGTAACATTAAGTACGGTTTTAATGTACTTTTACTTTATTTGTAGTATTATCCATTTTATGTTTCAATAGGAAATTACTAGTAATTATTACTCAACTACATTTATCTCCCAGCTTTATCCGCTAGTTACTTTGCAGATCAAAATTGTACGTGCAAAGAAATGTGGTCAACACACTAATTCATGATAACTACAACATAATATTTTTGCATCATGTTTGCATCATGCATCATGTGCATTAATAATGATATTTCTATGTGTTAAGTGTAACAATATCACTCTGAAAGAGGCCGTTGTGCATAATGAGTACTTGACACTTTAAATTTAGCTCACAATACTAATTTCACAACTTTCTACTTCAGTGAAACATTTGAATGCTTAAACTTTACTTGTGATGCCATATGTTTAGACTTTTACTTGAGTAAAAGATCTTAATACTTTTTCCATCACCCATCGCAGTATATTGTATCTTTTACATTTCTTACATAAAGACATGCAGTTACCACTTGCGCCCTGTGGATGGAGGCATTGTCATCAAACAATGAACATGAGATACATTATTTACAATGAAATGAGAGTGCCAACTCAAAAGTTTGGAGGAACTGCTAAAACTCCCAACCAGAGAAGTTTGAAACCACCTTAATCTTTAACAATGCAGTGACTCCATCCACAGGGCGCAAGTGGTAACTGCATGTCTTTATGT